CTTTTTAACTTTGATAGCATAAGCAGAGCTGGATTTTCATTAGGAATACTGCCAGAAGATTACAAGCTTTTTTTGATGATCTATAAAATCCATCCAATTTGTGGGCACAATGAACAAACCATAGTGAGTAAGGATTTCGTTATTTCAATGAACAGTTACTAGAAGTATTATGAAATCTTAAACGTAATCGAAAGGAAGGTGCAGCAGAAAAATATCCTTTTCCTTGCAGATTTACATAAAAATAAAACCCTATTCTTTCACTGACAATCTTATAAGGCACATATTCAGAATAAATATTTTCCAACAGCACTGAACAAGGGTGCACAAAATAATGTGATTACTAGTCTTTCTAAATCTAACATGCAAGTGGATCTGCCCCATATATACAAAGAGGTCCATGTGTGTATATATAGACACATACATGCATGCACAGGCTCACACACACACTCCTTTTTCAATTGAAAAGAAAAATCAACTCTTAGAAATAATAGCTACCTAGTAGCAGTTTCATACACATCACTTCTGTTTTTACATAAGATTAAACCTGTGCAGTATGCTAAAAGCAAGAATTATCTACAAAAAGTTGAATTCAGCCCTTATTGACCATTTCTTCAAATGAAAAAATTTTACTGGTTTTGAAGACAGTAGTAAACTAGAATTTCAGATCTACATGTTCCACAAAAATACAGAACTCCAATTTTCAAGAAATATCTGACCTTGTGTTTTATTTCTGGTCTTCTACTTTCAGTTTTGAGACACTAATAACTATGTACGTCATACGTACCTGACTTACAATCATGCAAGTCATAGGGAAAAAAAAAATTAAACCGACCAATTCAGGAAAATCTATGGAGGCTACACATACATCTCTGTATTTTTTATACTTCCTTTAAAATACATCCTCCATGTCAACAGCACACCTTCAGTTATTGAAGATCTGTAGCAGAAGTTCACACCTGGCACCACTTTTTGCAGGCCCATACACCTCCACACCAGTTTTAAAACTTCAGAATTTGGCTATTAGAACCGATTTTCACATAATCAAATTTAAGGACCTAGCTTATATTATATTGTCAAAACACATTTGTTTTTTTTAATTCTCAATAGTGGAGACATTATTAAGCTACTTAGGCACAACACTTTAAAATGAATTAGACCTTTTTAGATTTCTCCTTCCCTCTTGTACACTACAAGAAGGAAGGAAAGTGGGTCCCTGATTTAGGCCATGAGTATTTAGTCTCCAACAATGGATTTTCTTTGGAAAACCTATCAAGTCTCATGTGTATATTGTTCTAAAAAATGCATTAATTCAACTCACTGATTTCTGACATAATTTAACTAAAAAAATAGTGACTGACAAAACATGCCACATTTTATTTGCTCTGCTTATACCACAGATAGTACTGCTTGTCTGAGCCACAGTAAGGCAAAGTAAATATCATTCCCAACGCTGTTTTACAATCATGAATAATACGTAATCATACTTTTCATATTTGATTTGCTGTTTGAGTTTCATTATAACTTTAGGTGCTCCATTCCTTGCAAAATTCCTATTGTTTTCAAATTTACATCAAGCAAAATTTGGAGAGCTATAGTAGCTCTTTCTATGAAGAATGGGAACATCTGAGCTTTAAATAGATAATGCTGAGAAGTGTTTGGAAGTCACAGTTTAGATTTTAAGTTCTTTACTAACTTCACTGAGAAGAGTGAGTTAGGGCTCATGCAAGGCAAATCATCCTATGTTTGGTAGCCCCCTGTGCCTTCCTCTTAGGTATACAGCCCCGGTTCCTGGTCAGAGCTGGACTACTGAGTAAGATGGAGCAGAGATTTGCTCTGTCACAGCAATTCCTATTTCAATGAGATTTAGGAGCTAGAAAGGAACGCCAGATCAAACCACAAAAACATTCTGTAAAATACTTAAAATATTTTGTTCTTTATAGTAAGTGGAGTAAAACATCAACCTAACATCCTTTCTATAATACAATACCACTCTTTATTACTTTAAGAGCATGTCATTGATTCTGATGCATCTAAAATAACACCTTACTGTATACAAAAATCTATATTCTAGTCTAATATTCAGGCAGAGTGCATTTTTGAGCAACACGATATTAATTACAATTCTGGGTGTCAAATATGCCTACTACATCTATCATTTGGTCCAACTGCAAGATTATATGCTTTCTGGCTTAAAATTCGTAAATGAGTAGTGTAGAAAAGTATTACAATCTTTTTGTTAAAGCTGACCAAGCTTTACGTTTTGAAAGAATCACTTCTACTGCTCATCTGGCAATAAAAGAAAACCAAGGGAAAAGGGTGAGATATTTGATGAGATAAATAAACAATATTTTTACTTACCTTAGTTTAGATTACCCTGACTATGTGAGAGGAGCGCTGCAATATGCGTGCATTCTATGCTAGGCTGAAGCTTTTCCTCTTTCTCTTCCTTCTTTCAGTAAGAAAGAACCCTTAGGGTCAGGTCCTGCTCCCACTGAAGACAAGAGCAAAAGTCTTCACTGGGGTTCAATAGGAGCAGGACAGGGACTTTAAACCATTTTTTTTCCCCTTTTGTATCTTTCTGCATGAGCTTTTGTTCCTTCAGGCTATGCAGATATGAAGCTTTTAAGATTTCTGAAGTCACAATAAAGAGTTGGAAGTCTTATGTTCCTAATGAAGCATCATGCTGTCATCTAATTTATCTGAAATCACTGACCCCAGTTTGCCAGTGTTGTTTTTAAAGAAAAAATACTGGATTTACTCTTGACTAAGAAATCAAAAGTAGTTTTTAAAAACGTATTTTTTTGCCACTACAGGTACAACCTTTTATCCAAGTTACATAACTGCCATTCATTTGCTCAGATTTCAATTCCCCCATTCGTACTCAACTCTTCTGCTAGAAGAAATTTCCTCTACATAAAAAACTGCTCTTAGCCAAACCATTATCCACTGTTGATAACCACATATGTCTCTTTGCATTTCCTTGCCTGACTGTAAACAAGGCTTCTAAGAGACAAAAACATTTTTCATTGATCAGGACAGAAAGTTGTTATGGTACATATTCTAAAAGGCATTTGTATATTGTTTCTTGCAGATGCCTAATGATCAAAGAAAATTAATACCTCAAAAATTTATTCACAGCTGGAAAATCTTCTCTCCTGAGTGGTCTATATCCATATACATGTAACACAGATGCCACAGATGAAATAATGGTAAACCACATTTGGCGAGAGTCCTGTTTCCGAAGACCGTGTGTCTCACTCACCTGTTTGGCTAAGTTGAGATGTGCTTCTGCTCCTTCGAGACACTATGGCAACCACTTTGGCACTAAGGCTGGAACGCCTTTTCTTCCCACCTGTTCCAACCGTGCCGACAGCCGTGTCCGACTGACTCCCGTCATTGTGCTCCAGCTTATACATCTCTCCGCTCACACTTGTGCTCTTAGTGATTCTCCCTGAAGTCCCCATCCGTCTGCCTTGCATTTTAGGAGTAAATGTACTACAGTTACAAAGTAAAAACAAACATGTTAATTTGTCTGTGTAACAGCATTTCCAACCCCCTTTTTTTTAATTAGTAAATTAATTTTAAGTCTTGATACATTTTAATTCATTTGGTTCACAAATAGAAGGTTAATTTGATGCTCGTCAGACTATATATTTCCAGCATTATAATTTGTTCTTCACTTCTTCGAGGGAAATAAATAAAATGAACACTTTCCCATGTTTTTCAGAGTGACAGAGAGACACGCAACATTTAAAAGTCACGTGGAGCCTTCCTGTCTATATCCCCAGAATACAGAAAACAATAAAAATACAATTTTACGACCAAAGAAAATGAGTATGGGCCATGAGAATATATGTAGGTTAATACACGTATCTTATCGGCACTGTTCACCAAAGCCTTAAGACCTAATAGATATGAAGATATCATCTTCTATATTTTCATACTTCACAGAAAGAGATAATATAAAATGTAGCATTTTTTAGGTCTTCACTCTCTCACTTCTTCAAAGGTAAATGCAATAATCACAGTATGAAGGCAAAATAATTTTGAGACAAAAAAACCTAATAACCCACTAGTATGAAGGCAAAATAATTCTGAGGCAAAAAAACCTAATAACCCACTAGAACTTTCATTGATTGACAGAAAGATGAATCACTCTGTCAGTTTTGTTTGATTTTCTTTAGCTATCATATTGCATTTGAATGTTTCTATACAAATCCTTTTTCTGCTCCTGCACATAGAGGCTGGATAAAGCATTCAGAAACACGCTCTAGAGAACAATCTCAAATACACACAGGACATACTAATACACAGTCCTAATACTGCTACAACCAAGTGATGCCCTAGCTGTAACAGCAATATGAAGTTAGCTGTCACTCTGCAGAGACCCAGAAATTTAAGCTGCAGCCTGACTCACTTCAGATGTAGTTGTTAAATCAGCCTAGTACGTGGGAAATTCCTTGATCTTGTATTGCTGATTAGTAGACCTACTGGCAACATACTAATTTTAGTGATTTTTTTTCAGTAATTCTGTATTTTGAAGTCAAATTTTGAATTTATTTGTTGAGGGACAGTCCTGCTGTCCCTCCCAGCAGGCTCCCTTCCCAGTAGATGTGATGGACTGCTCCTCCCTCCATCACCCTAAAATAAGAAAGAGAAGGGTTAGAGGCGCAGGCTTCTTTATCTCATGGCAAGTTTCAGACAGCTAGGAAATCTTGCCAGGGAGAAATGAAGGGGTCTGTGGGAGAAGAACTGACATCCTGTGACTTCTATGGATTTGGGCCCTGCTAAAGCTTACATCAATCCTGTCCAAAGACAGATACAGGAAAGTATAAAATGATGTATACCTAAATTATGTTTTACTGACAGTTACCAAGATTTACTAACGTGTCACTGTCCTGGTTTTGGCTGGGATAGAGTTAATTTTCTTCCTAGTAGCTGGTACAGAGCTGTGTTTTGGATTTAGGATGAGAACAATGTTGATCACACACCGATGTTTTAGCTGTTGCTAAGTAGTGCTTACACTAGCCAAGGACTTTTCAGCTTCCCATGCTCTACCAACTGAGAAGGCTGGAGGTGCACGAGAAGCTGGGAGGGGGCACAGCCAGGACAGCTGACCCCAACTGGCCAAAGGGATATTCCATATCACGTGA